AAGGTTGTGTCTTTTGCATGTGTATACCTGTGAAATTTTGCTTGTTGAACTATTTAACCACAGTTAATATGTTTTCTTTTAATTTGTTTTAAATGATTGTAGAAATAAGCTGCACAGTAATGTTTCAAATACTTTGCAGAAGTTTTCTCCCTTTCTCCTTTCCTCCACGTTTTTGTATCACTTGCCTCCTGCTCTTAATTGGATTTCTTACTTGGGTCAGTAGCAAGGAAGGAGACCTCTCTAACTGTTACCACATATTTTGTTAGTTTATCCCTTGGAAAAACACTTCTCCAAAATGCACTATACTAAACACCTGAAAAAAGATAATTTAAACACTCAGGCCATTTCTGTATTCCATTTGTAAAAGAAATACTAGATTGGGGCTAAATATAATGGTTTTAAATATTTATGGCATTCAGTATGCCCAAACGTTCAGTTTCTAGTGTGACCCTTTCCTTGGAATCATAGCAACACTAATATGCATCCAAGGTACTACTGCCTCTGCTATGTGGTAGAGACTAATGTGCAAAGATTATTTATTTTTTATTATATTATGCTATCTATATATATTATTTCTTTATACAAACTGCTTCAAGTTTGCTTTGATTTAGTTGGTAATATCTTTTTTTTAATGGTTTTGACTTCTTTCGTCTTGTCTAAACTACAGAATAGACTTATGAAAAAGAACTTTTAATGTTGGTAAAATATTAATTTAAAGCATTAGAGCCATAATAATAGCTTAAAATTGGTCTAAAATTGTCTAAAATATGCCCTTTAAGTGACTAGAGAAGGTTCTTAAAACATTTGCATAGGATTTTGAACTTCAAAAAACAAGAAGTCATCAGCAAAGGACTAATAAAACAACACATTAAGTACAGAAAGACAGTTACAGATTTATTTTTCATAATGATCCACTAAAGGACAGCATGCATTATTTCTACCTTTTACTTAATTTTATTAGTAAAATTAAAGTTACTAGCAAGTAACTCCCAAGCAATGTAAATATGAATACTCAGATACTTACTATTGATTTTAGGATGTAAAGACAATGCTGAATTTGGGAGGGTCAGCTGCCTTGTGGTACTTACTGTTCTTCCCTCTGAGTTACTTTTTATAAATTACTATGGTTCTGTGAAATGTCTTCCATTTGTGCCTTAGGGCATCTCATTAACAGTTCTGATTGGAGCAACGAGACTGTATTGCAAAGCTGAGTGGTTTTATCCTAGTAGAGCTGTGAATGACATGTCCCATAATATCACTGGAAGCCCCCTCAGGGACAATTTTTAGGCATGTTCTAGTGCACAGAAATAGGAGCCGAAATTGAGTTTCTTTAAGTCAGGGAGATCTTTCTCCCCTTACAGTACATGCTCTGTCAGAAAGGGCCAACAGCAACCATAATGTGTGTGGTTTACTGTGCAAGTCACGTCTGAATGTCAACACCGTGGAGTGCTGCAGGCACCCAAGAGGGTGGGATGAGACTTAGGTTGCCCCGTGAGGGGGGAGGCAAGTCCAGGGCAAGTCTGCTTGCTAGGTAGGGATGAGGACCAGTGAGGTGCATGGCCAGGTGCACACAGCTCTAGCCTGGTGGGCATGGGGGAGAGGAGAGTGGCTGAGAAGGGTTGACTGAGTTGCTGAGATGTGGCACAGTGACATGCACCTGTGGAAATGTCCAATACAACATACCCCTTCCTCTCTTCCTTACTTTCTTCAATACAAAATATTTCACAATATGTATAAGTCTCTTTTATGTGATCTCTTGCAGTATTTGTGTGCTTGTGTGATTGAGAGAGGAAGAATATTGTGGCCAGCTTTTCTGTGCCCAAGCGGGTTGCTACAAAGTGAAAGCAGGAATTTAACTTCTCTTCATGTAGACAAAGAAGTAGGGATGGTCAGTTTTTGCATGGTAGCTAGCTGGTGGTTTTGAATGGTAGCTAGTTGGTATTTTTGCACTATGAAACAAGGAGTTATGGTGCCAGATCCATAATATACAGTAGCATAAACTTTACTTCCTTTCCTTTGAGACTTCAATTTACAGCACCATTTAAATAGGGGTGGGGTAGGCCTTCAAAAGGTTTTGAACTGTACAATATACTTAAACTGTAATTATTTTTTTTTTGAGTCATGCTTCTATATTTCTTTTTAATGGACTCTTTTTTCCTTCACTGGGAAATTTGGTGAAAATAAATAAATTATTTCTTTCTAGTTTGTCGGAAAATCATTGTGTTCTCTTATCTTACTCTTACTGCTCTTGTGCTTACTCCAGTACTCTTAATAATTAAAGCCTAAATTTTATGGTTTAAATCCTGCTATTTCCTTCAGTCCTTAGTTTCTCATTAGTAGTATGATCATATGGTTGCTGAGTGGCTATTGCAAAATATGTAATAGCCTGTGCATTTTTTTTTGGTGGCATCCTCTGTTGATTTACCCTGGTAGACAAGCTACTAAATGTTTCAATCCACTGCTAATGATTCTCTAAACTCTCTTTGTCTTTTAAACATTTTCCACAAAGTCACACTCTTGCAATGCTGATTTACTTGTGTTTGGGGGAAGGTGTTTTCCATTGATGCAGGTATTATTGTCTGCCATGATTCCTATCCCAAGGCAAGTGGAGGAGGGCTTTGGTAGCTTGAACCAGAGGTAACACTTTGGCTCATAGTGATTACCTCCTTGGGCAGAACAGTTTTGTCAGGACCTCTTCAGCTGCCATTTCCACTTGCATGCTTAGAGTTACGGAGTAAACTGTGCAGGTGTTTGCAGTGCTTGAGGCTTCCAGAACATCTGGAGGGTTGTCAGACCTTGGCAGGCCCCATGTCCAAAGATGTGTAAGGTCTTTGGAGATGCATTGTCAATATTTTAAACCTCATGGTACACATTCTCTTTTTATTTTTTGCTTATATCTTTTTATTCTGCTCCTTTCACCTCCCTCCTTTTTTTTTACAATATCACATTTTACCTATCTTAAATAATATCTCTATAATAATCCAACATTTTCTTCTACAGACTACCTGTAACACATGACAAATAGATTTGACTGATGCTGTTTGAAATCCACTTTGTTTGACAAGTTTTCCTATCGCAATCATATATATGTGGGGTTTATTTTTATCTTTTTTTTTAAACCAACCTTTTTGTCATTCAGGTTAGTCACCAGAGTATGCTTACAGACACCAACTCAAGCCTTCGTAATGGCTTTTGAAAGCTTATTGTGATCACTGAAGTAAATAAGGCAGTGAGTCATAACTAAATGGGATTCAGCCATGGAGTAACAGAGGTTTGTAGGGCAGCAATATGTATGAAGGTCACATGCAGGATTTTATTCAAGCAAAGTTTTATGGTCAGAAATTATGGCCTGATGGCTACATCTGCTTCAGCCTTTGGGACTAGATAAATGTAATAAGATTGTCCTTTCCTGTTTCTCTGATTGCTGTAGAAACCTGTTTAAATCCACACATTTTATGGACTACTGAACTTTCTCACATTTTGTGCCACTTATTTCTTCAAATTTCTCAGCCTTCCTTGTGCTGTTTATTAACAAGGACATGCTCAGTTTGAGATTAAACCTTTACAGGGTTGCACTTCTTCGCTGCCCTTCCATTTCATTCAGGTTTGCTTTCTTATTTCTCAATAAAATTGATTTTTATGGGAAATGGTATTGCTAATACTGAGAGCAAAAAAAATATTTTCAAATAGGATTTGAACTATACAAAGTCAAGGGAGAATAGGGGGAGAAACATTTCAATAGTGATAGAAGATTTGCAACTGCAAATTGCTTGTGTCGTCAGTACTTCAGAAAATATGGGGGGAAAAAAATATTTTGAATTAGCTATCCTGTGTGCATCCACAGAACATACCAGCAGTGGTGGCACTGTGCCTTGTTCTCAGAAGTGCTGGGTGAGAAGCCTGGTACACTTACACAAGCTTTGTTCTCATTTTAGTTCTGCTAACCCTACAAAATCAATCAGATCTCCAATTTGCATAAATGTGCCATGGGAGTCCAAGTGCTGGCAGCTTATGAAGAAAAGATTTTACAACCCTAGTGATAACAGCATGACAGTTGGAAAGACAGTGGTTGCATTGGAGATCAGGGAGAAAGGAAGAGTGAGCATTGGCTGAACTAGGAAAGGGACATGTGATAGAGGCTTAGTTTAGGAGGAGCAAGGTGCATATTTAATACATTCTCAACAAAAATTTCAAAGCTATTGTGACCTTCCTTTAGCTGGAAATAATCTACCCAGTGTAAGGCTTCGTTGTTACAGCAGTTACAAAAATTGTGGGACTTCCATCAAACTCCAGTCTTTGAATTTTGGACTCCAATGTTTTTTAGTTCCTAATTGTTTATGTGGTAATATTTTCTCCAACTGCAAGACAACTTCCATTATCTGTGTTTCTAATTTGAAAGCAAACTCTGGTAGCTGTAAGCTGCACTAGACTTACAGATACTTGAAGATATAAAAAAAATCCTTTATCTTCAGTTCCAAAAAATCCCCCCAAATCCAAATAAATAAATCAGTCCACCAGGAATGGATTTCTCCAGGGTAGTTTAACCAATGTGAGGAAAACAACTTGAGGAAAAGTGGTGCACACCTCATTAGTCCTTAGTATTTCACAGAATCACAGAATGTTAGGGCTTGGGAGGGGCCTCCAGAGATCACCGAGTCCAACCCCCCTGCCAGAGCAGGACCATCTAGTCTAGGGCAGGTCACTCAGGAACACATCCAGACGGGTCTTAAAAGTCTCCAAGGTAGAAGACTCCACAACCTCCCTGGGGAGCCTGTTCCTGTGCTCTGGAACCCTTACAGGAAAGAAGTTCTTCCTCATGTTGAGGTGGAACTTCCTGTGCTCCAGTTTGTGTCCATTGCCCTGTGTCCTATTGCAGGGCATAAGTGAGAAGAGGTTGCCCCTTCCTTCCTGACACCCAGCCCACTTAGATTTATACATATTAATTAGATCCCCCCTAAGTCTTCTCTTCTCCAGACCATTTTTTTTTTTTTTTAAAGATATTTTCACTGTTATAGTATCTTTAATTTATCTTGTGTTTTACAGAATTCTGAATGGATTAAAAAGCACCTCCTTTCCCATCACGTTCCTTACAGTTGGTAAAATATATTCAATGAGCAAATGTACATGAACAGCTTGAGGATCTGCATCTTGCAAGGATCTCACAGACTAATCAATCAAAAGCCAAATTTATTGTAGTTTTTACAATCTTGTTTTAATACAACGGTAAATCCATTCCGATTGTAAACCTGTCCAGTCATATCTCCCCAGAACACTTTGCAAAAATCCAGTGTTGATGAGCAAACTGGTTAGCTTTGGCACAGAGCTGTGGTCTCTTGCCTGTGACAGCCTGGAAACCAGTTTTAATGCTGGCAATGGAGCAGCGAGAATAGCAGGTCTCACACTGCAAGAAATATAATCTGGTGTCCTTCTGTAGGATTGTGTCCGGTGACCGACATGTATGACAGGTGACATACTCCTTGATATATCTTCTCAAGATATTTTCTATCTGTTTTTGCTGGAATCTTCCTTTGATTACAAGTTGGTTGTTAACATCTTTTGAGCCATTTGTACCCAATTCTGCCAACAAAAACACCAGAAGATGTTTTAGCTGACAATGTAGTAATTTGCAGATATTTGTAAAGTTGAGATAAGATATTTTCTTGGTTCCTGCTCTTACAACCCACGGAGGCTTCAATGACAAATTTTCGTTTTTCTCCAGCTACCATATCTGGATATTTTTCCCTGCATGATGTTAAATACTCTTTTGAGCAATTCATCGTATGTGTAGTCTCTTTCTGAGCCTGCCCATGCAGGTCTTGACTAAAGGCTAGAGGAAATTCCATCATCTTTTTTGCTATCTTCATCCTCAAAAGCTTCATCCTTCTCCATGATCTCATCTTCATCTGGGAACTTCATATTCATTATTTGCAGATGGCAAATCTATAAAGTTTAAACTGTAGATACTAGTGTGGTTGAAGAGCACTTTCTGAAGTGTGCTTTCCAAATCACTGAGGCAAAGGGGCAAAAATGTGGCTTTGTATAGTGAAGACTAAGGCCAGATCCTGCTAGCTTTCAGTTATTGTTACCCACATGGTCTCATAGAATACCTAAAAACACTGAACATATGCTTTATGACTGCTGCGTGCCTTTGTTGTGGTTTAATGTGAGAATATTAGTGTTTATATGGAAACCACTTTTTTTCAGGTGACCAGGAAACCTGGTAGCATCCCAGTGTTACATTTGACCACAATCATACGGCTGGAGGTGTTTACATAGGACCACCTGTCAAACCAAAGACTGGTATTTGCATTAGTTTGCATTACCTACCCCAGTACCCTTTTGTAGTTATTTTTTTCCTCCTGCTTTCTCATGACTTCAAAACAGCAAGAGTGATTTTCTAATACTGATGCCTTTTGCTGCCAGTTCCCAAAGTATGGCTCAACATTAATATTTATGGCAGATTTTGACATTTCTATCAGAGCTTCTACTTTCAAGTGACAAACAGAAATTCTAATAGGCTTGAAAAACTTTCTTTCCCAGGCTTTTCCTTAAAAAGCTTGTGACTGTGAGGCAGGTAATTAACCTCTTTACCTCCTTTTAAAAGGTAAATCAAATTAATAAATAACTGAACAAGTGTGATGCCTTTTGGTGGTGGAGTGCAGAGTCAGTTTTACCACCTTACTTACTATAGGAGTAGCTAGACAGGTGGGTATTCTGCAGTACTTAGACTGCAAATCCAGGTTGGATCGCTTCTGATTTTGCAGTACACATATTTCCACTTGCAGTTCAGAGGTGCCTAATATATGTTTTCATACATTAAACACGGTGCTTCAGTCTGCTGTGTTAATGTGTTCTGACACGCTGCTAGTGGTTTACTTTTAAGAGCTATACAAACTGTGATGTGATTAAATAATATCAGTAGTATATTTAAATGTTTAAAGCCACTGCGCCCGAAGGCTTTTGGGGTATTTTAATAAACAGAAGTATAGAGACAAAGCAAATGAGAGAAGCTTCATCTTCCTAGATGCCAATTATTTAGCTGGCACCCTGGGCTATCAGTTCCCCAAAGTAGTCTCCTTAAACAAGTAACAGATACCCTATCTAGATTTCCTCCTCGTCTTTTTGTGAAGCAATGTCCACTAAAATCACTACAGCAGTCAATCATCACTGTCCAACCAGAAATGGATATTCCTAGACAGGCCTCACAGCATGCAGGCTTGCAGCAGGTTGTGGCAACTACCAAGAAGTAAACTGCTGTGTTCATTTTTTTCTGCTATATTGAGTCCTCCCAAGTCCTCTCATAAAATAATATGAATTTGGGATTTTGCTTTTGCTTTTCCTGACTGAATTCTCTGAATTAAGTAGAAGTCATTTTGTTTCACCTGACAGTTTAGGGACAAATAGATGTCCATCTATGTATAGATCAATAATTGCTGTATGCATCTGTATTTGTGTTTGTCTAAAATTAGGTAATTAATGTGAATTAATTGTTTAATTAATTTAAGTAACCCCTTTGAGCCTTTTTTTCTCTTCTTCCTTCCTTTTTCCTATATCCTTAGTTTCATTTACAAGCTTTTTTTGTTGTCATCTGTTGGCTCTTTGGACACAAGCTGTGTCCTTAGTAAGTATGCTGATCTGTATTTGAGGCAATTGAGTGTTTATGTGATGCAAATAATTTCTAACATACTCCTCTCTCTCTCTGTATATAATCAGAGACAAAATGTACTTTATGGAGGACAGTAGTGTTTTAAAATCTAATTCTGATAATGAGGAAATGAGCCATGACACTTTGGAGGTGAAGCCTGAAGTGAAATATGAAGGTCATTCTCTTAGATGGGGAAATTAATTATATCTTAGCCTGGTTCCTTGCTTAGTCCCTTTATACTGTACACTACCAAGTAATTTTGACTAAATATCAATTTATGAAAAATTATCTGAGCAAAAGAGAGCAGTTACAAGGACAGATTTTGATACTAGGCAGTGTTTTATTAAAACACTAATCATATCAGAAAACCATAACCTTTCATGTTATCTTTTTGAAAGGTTGTCTGCTGTGGGATCTTAATGCTCATTTCATTTGATTGCCAGTGTGCCTTTAGCTTGTGTGATTACTGGCCTTTCTGATACTTTTTCCCCCTCCTTAAAATCCAGTCTTTTTCAGTTCTTCATTGTGTAGTCTGAAAGAGTACTGAGGTGAGCCAAGCTACTCTGAAGGATGCAGCTATTAAGCATAGCACTCACAGGGGGAGATGCAACAGGCAGTGTTGATGGTAATCAGAAAACATTTACTCTGGGCCTGGAGCAGGCATGGGAACCTTGCAGAGCCTCTTGCGTGCCGTTGACACACAAGAGGGAGTTTGGGCTAGGGATCTTTATGTAAGGATATAAAGCACTAACACATAGGACTTAACTTTGTGTGGAAATCAAACACCTGCTTAAAGACTTTTCTGAGCAGGGATATACATAAGCAATCCCAAATCAGTGACTTAATTTTCTTTGGCAGCTGGTATTCATTATTTTCTTTACTTTAAGGGCATATTGTCTCCAGAAACTTGTAGATCTTAGCAGCATTTTCAAATCCTGCAACTCTGGTTGCCTGGATGACTCTGCCAGGTGGTTGTAGCTCTTCTGCTATTGTTCGTAGCAAAAATGTGGCTGCAGGTCATAGATGGGGCCTGTGATATCTGGGAAAAAAGTTTGAAATCACAACGAATCTTCCAGAGTGCCAGGCCACAGAACACAGTTAAATAAGTAACAGCCTACAGAGGTTTTGCTCCTGACACTGTTTTACGACAAGAGGGTTATGATGTACTGAGCTCAGTCATCACAAAGTATGAGAGAGCTGTACTCAGAAATTGCAGTTCCATGTTACAGGTAAACAATTTATGTTCATCTCATCCCTTTGTGACCTGGTGCAGGAAAGAAAGCCAGCAAGAAGCTACTTTCTTTTTAAAAAATGCCATGTCTCTTTACTACCAAGCTGTGGCTCAGTGGTAAGCCTTGTGATAGCCAGCCCTTGCAAAGGGCAGAGGGAGGGATTGTGATGCCCCCTTCCAGGTGCAGCCAAATGCTGGACCAACTTGGCTGTAATGTTGGGTGCCAGAAACTGAAAGCAATCAATCATTAATGGATAAAATACAGAGGAAGCCAGCTGTACTAAGAGGAAATACTTTTGCATTTCTGAGATGCCATTTCGGTCAAAAGAAGTGCCAAAACTTTGCTTTCTGAACAAAGAAGAGAGATGTTTGGAGAAGATGAAATCCATTCAGACTACTGGAAGGAGTTTCAATGAAAATTACCTAGGTTATAACAGCTAATGTGCTCTCTAATGGGTGCAATCTGAAATGTGAAGTGATGCAAAGAGCTGGACTTGTCAAGACACTTGTAAAAGGGCTTGGTAGTTATACTTGAAACATGAACTTTGAATTTCTTCCTGAAGTCTTTGCTAATCCTAGATCTTTGATAGAAGAAAGGAAAAGAGAGTAAATGAGTACAGATGAAGGAAGAATGCAACTTCCACTTGGTTTTCCAATATTTTGTCTATTTAATAAATTTTTTGTTTCATCTTAATTTGGCATTGATGGATCAAATGCTGACTCAAAATCAGACTTTTCTGTGTGCTTCGCTTGTTTAGTTTTGCACATAATGGAGTAGAAATTACTTCCTCTGATGAGAGAGTGAGAGAATTTGGAGATACCTGTGCAGCACAGGAGCAAGTAGTACAGTGCCTAGCTCTGTTGCATTAGATAAATGCCGTAACCTTAATTTAGAATAGTAGTAACTGAGTCTAAAACAAACCTTTGAAAACACTCACTTAAGAAAATTGTTTTAAGTAATTTTCTTTGCTGTTAGTTCATCTATGGCATTAAAAGATGTACTATTCCACCATAACTTTATCTTAAAACAATATATATAACTATTCAGAAAAGCATGTTTCTGTATTCCAGGAAACAAGTCTTTCCTTTGTAGTATTTTCTAGTTACAACAACTTACTTCCTAACAGGCAAATTGTATCTTTCAACACCAGATAACAGCATTGTATAGGAAGTTAACAGCAAGTCTCTAGTTGGAATATTTTTTTTTTTTTTTTTTTTTTTTTACTTTCAGAATTTGGAGGATTAACCTTTTAAAAGAAGATTGGAATCTAGGGAAGCCTCATGTACAGTTATTTCTTGGCCCTACAAGTCACAATTTTTTAAGCATAAAACATAATTCTTTTTCAATATTTGTGTAAATTCTTTTTTGGAGAGCCTTGGAGGAAATGAACATTTTGTTGATTACATTGCAATACACTATGAAGAGATTCTGTAACATTGTTTTGTGCCTTTCTCTCTGTATAGGATACCTTGACCCTCATCAATTCATGTCTGAAAATATATTATTAAAATTTATTGTGAAGGGGCTTTTTGTGTCAGAAGGGAAGATAAGCAGTCGTAGTTCATGTAAAGTGCTGCTTAAACCTTCTGCCAGCAGAGCCTTTAGGTTAGTAATGCTTGCTTATAGTAGGTTCTGATCTTTGCTATGGCTAGTCTCTCTTCCTTCTTTCAATAAACATATCAAGAAAGGCAATATGTTAAGATATTTGTTTTTAACAAGTGCTGTAGCCCTAAGAATCCTTGGAATTTGAGCAGAACTAGTTCCAAAGCTCAAATCACTGTTTTGAAATTAAGCGTACCTGTTAATTGTATTTGACTATGCCAAGCTCCTGTCCTGGGAATGTCTAACTCTGACTTTTGTGTCAAGTCCTAGTTTAAGTAGGTTGATACATGTAATAGATTTACCAGTTCATATACTTTTCTGCTTTGTCTTTGGGTGTTTTTCTGCTCTTCAGACATTTATTTCATGTGCAGTCTAACTTTATGGGAAAGTTAGAAGCTGTTATGGATCAGCAGGTGCTGTTTTCTTATCATCTGAAACAGAAAAAGTAATTTATTTTTCACCATTAAAAAAAGGTGAGTTCAAAACTGTCGGTGGATAGGTGATTTCACATTTGATTTGATAATTGAAAGCAGAATTTTAAGTAGTTTTTCTTCATGTGAATGTTTCTTGTATTGCTAAAGTGTATTATCCTCTTCCACAAACAAATTCTAGAGAACTACTTGAGCATTTCTTTAAGGGATGACCATAACATATCCACTCCTTTTCCCTTGCCCAGTTTATTTCGGGCTCGTCATTGGTTATATGTAAAAATCCAGAACAAAAAGTACCTAGCTTTATATAGCATTATGAAAGAATAAAAAAATTCCAGACTCTAAGTTACCTGTGAAAATCAGTATGGTTACTCATCCTTGGAAGCACCAGGCTCAGCAAATATTTCTGATCATGTCAGTGACATTAGTTGTGTGATAGCAAGCTGGAAGATATTACATGTAAAAAAACCCCCATGGACTCAACAATGTGTCATAGTGATTTTATTCAAAGTTAAGACTGAAAATAATAGAAACATAATGGAATCAACAAAAGCAATCAGCTTTCTGTAGTATTTTGTGTGTTTTGCAAAATTTTCTTGCTGCATGAGGTCTTGGGGTGTGCCACTTCTTCAGTAGAATTTATTTCAGAGTCCAATTTGAATTCTTCACAATGTAAACAGGTGTTCAATCTTAGTAAAAGTAGCTGAAATACGGGAAATTTAGGATCTGTCAAAAAGCCACAGAAGCAATGCAGCAAATGAGACAGACTGCCATCATGTTTTTTTCAGAGATTTCTTTCTCACAAATTGGCAAGCTGAACTGTGCCGCTGATGTATAGGAAAATAGGGAGGATGGTACAAGGTGAAAAAAGTGAAAGTAACATGTAAAGATTTGTCAGTGCCTTTCCAAACATGCTCAATCTTATGCATGTTAGAATGCAGTGGTAATAGTAGGGATTTCGATAAACTACCCAAATGGCAAATGCAAAAAGTTCATGGTGGCTTTTTTTAATGCTTTCTAGAAGATGCAGAAGTGAAGTAAACAAAAATGTAGGTGTTTATTGACTGTAGCATAATGAAAATGACTTGAAGTCTTTCTTCCTTGCAGCCTCCTCAGTTTTTGAACATTACTGTTGATATGCAGCCGCTTGGAAAGCAGTTCAGGATTAATTGCAAGACTCATATTACTTATATAAGGAGACTTTTACATGTTTGGGAAATAAACATCCCAGCTGAAAGCAAAGGATTTTGAATGCAGTTTTTGGTGAGGTCTCTGCATCACAGGAGAACTCTACTTGCTACTCAGCTGCAGGTTTACGGAGTTAATAAAGGTTCTCTTATCTAGGAAATTATCACTTACTCCAGCTTTTCAAGCTGCTCTGTTTCTTCAGGTGAATCAGGCTGGCCATTTCGATTTCAAGAGATAAATGTCTTTACACACATATTACTCTTCAGACTTTACAGAGTTGGAGAGTTTTAAAAGTATTGATGTGTCTGCATGTGGCTACTGAAGGGGTTAACAAGCTTTTCAATTAAGTCAGAAGAGTTTAGTACTAAATAGTTACCTCTTCTGTAGAGAGCTGTATTCTATAAAGACCTTGGAAAAGCAGGAGAAACACTCATGCGTACCAAAGAAATCTGTGCTATTTCTTTCTGTTTCTTTGTGGAACCTGAAGAAAAAAAAAAAAGATTGCAGCCTCTGAGGACCTTAGTTGTGATAGACAGAAACACTTATAAGAAATTAACCAAATCTATTTTAGCTGTAAATATTTATCAAGCAAGAGTAAATAATACCATTCCAAGGTCTAAAACACATTTGTGTATCTGGTTCTTTTGTAATGAAAAACGAAAGAAACCTTTAGAAAATTATGAAATGCTCCTACTTGTTATGAGTTGTATAATTTGTCTAATGTGGCTGACTAACCCAGGATCTCTTTTTTCCTCTCAATTTCTACTGGTGACTCTCACATTCTGTTAATAGAATTGAAAAGCTATCTCCCCTGGGCTTGGGTTATATCTTTTTAATTGGTGTATAGATCACAGAAACAGATACAAAGGTTTTAAGCTTAATTCTCTAGCTCTCACTTTCAAAATAGGAATTGAGTAGAAACCCATGCCTGTAACCTCTCTTGAACTCTGCAGAAAGTCTGAATAGCGTAATTGTAGGAAAGGAATGGGTTTGCATTTTCAGGTAATATAAGGAATCTGAGGATATTTTTTCAAATCAGTCATTTGTATAAATTCTTAGTATTTATATCTAGCAATAAATTAATGGAAAAGAAAGTACTGCAATTCTTTTATTTTTTAAATAAAATTTTTAAAAAGTAAGGAAAAAAATTATTAGTTTTGAGTAGAGGTATGTGTGGCTACGTACAGGATATTAACCTGTGATAAAATTCTTGACAAGGCTACAACACTATATATGATGTCATCTTAAAATGCATCAATAATTTTTTCTGTTAAACCCATCATTGTAGCAGCAACTTGAGCATTTGAAATAGAAATTTCCTTAAGCTTTACCTGGCATAAAAATTGCTTGGCAGAAGTATTTGTCATGCACAGTTGTTACATCTGGCAGCTGGAATATTTATCTAGATAGAATAGATTGCAGTTTTGGAAATATCAGACTTTTGGAAAAGTAAAACGATTCCCAGGTTGTATGTTACACTTGGATTAAAGTGAACTTTGAAATGTTTACCTGCTTTTGGTAGCTTGTCTTCAGCTCTCTGAGTCCTCACTGAAGGTCTGTAGTCTGATTTTTTCTTAAGTTGTTTCTTTATGTTCAGATTTATATAAATTTAATAATAAGTTTTCATATCTTAGCTGTGACTATAGAATTATATAGAGTGTAAGTGTAAACTGAATTGGTCTGGTTTATGAGTTGACCTTCGCTGTTTCTGAGCTACCTCTTGAACCACATTTTGTCTTTCTGTATACTGTGCTCTGGACTGCACTAAATTTAGAAGGAGCACATGCTCTTTGTCTGGGTTCTGTGTGGCAGACCACCTCATGACAGATCTGCAGGGCTGCGGGCACATGGACTAGCAACAAGAAATCTACAGTGGGCTTTGAAGGTTACTTTGTACCCAGGTAAATTTCTTTGTGTTAAGCTAGGATATGAATTAAAGGGGGAATAACTATTTTGGATCAAATCTTTTTGTGGTCTCGTCTCATCTGCTACTAGCTATGAATGTCCACAAAGATATTTACTTAAGAACAGTTATTTTGGAACAAATTTCCATGCAGGTAGAATCTAATGTTTTTAAATTTCAGACTGTCCGGAGATGAAGATTCACCATAATGGGGGGAGTAGGAGAGGAGCAGCTAAATCACTTACTGTTTAGGATACTTTGGTTTTCTTGTTGCTTGATATTTTCTTGTGTGTAAACAACCTATCTGATTTGGAGAAGATAGTCAGGAGGGAGCAGAAGAAAACTTCATAGTGCTCCTGGAGGTGGAATTTTCCTATCTTTTGGTGTTTTATTTGGGTCTCTACCTATACAAAATGAGGTTTTGGATAGCATTATTTTTCTGCAGAATATGTAACTTACACAAGATTTCATTTCAGACAAACTGTTTTGTGATCTTACTAGGAGCTACTCTAGGAACAATTTTGCCTCTCCAGGTAAATAGCAGTTAATATAAAGCCTAATTTTGGAATTTTCTGAAATACATTATAAAATATGTGTTTTCTCATGAGTGTATCTGCACTGCGTCTCAGCTTTTCACAATTATCAGACTGATTGGTACCAATTATAAACTGTCCTCTGGTTTTTTATCACCTCTATAATATTTCATTATTTTCTTTGTGATGGTTGATAGTGCAGTGAGAGACCTATAGTTATTGGGTTGTCGTCCTTCAGTGTTGCAACAGTAACATTATTAGTGTTGCAGGAAATCTCCAGTATTTCAAGTTGTATTTTAAAGTTTGGTGCCAGCTTATTAGCAATTATTTCCTCAGCTACCTTTTAGAAGTCTTGGATTATAGACATTGAGTTTTAGTAATTTGAAAGCAATTATCCTTGATGAATGAGATTGTTTCCAGGAAATGATGTAAACAGATATTCTTTACAGCAGCCTTCCTATCTGATTACAGCATCAGTATTTGGGCTATTCTGAAGGTCTGTCTGCATTGTGTGATGATAATCCATCAGAATACACAAGGTTATGATAATGCAATGCAGAGTATCCAAGTAGGATATGGAAATGTTCCC